TTCTAGCCATTTTTGTTCACCTATAGGTAACACTCCCTCTAGAGCTTAGTTGGTTAAGTGACAGTTGCCTCCAAGGCGGATCACAGTGAGCTGCCACGGGATCCAGACTGAATCACCTCAATCCATCACTAAGCCTAGCCATAGAATACTGACCCATCCAGCTAGCGAAACCCCAAAATCAGGTTGCTCCTCAATCTTTAAGGTAATTAGCCGCTCCTGCTATCCAAGCAAGGCTGCCACACTAGATGTTATGACCCAGCAGCGCCCTCTACTCGGTAGGCCCTGTCATAACCCCTAACAGCAGTGAAAGGCTTAAACCTGCTCTCTCCTCTGTCTCTCTCTGTGTTTTGATTTGTTGGTTTGTTTGTTTTTATTTTGTTCTGTTTTGTTTGCCTAAAGACCGAACATTTGAGAATCATCAGAGAAGGCTGAGTAATAGATTGACGACCCAAGCTGCCAAAGTCTTTAGATGATCACGCCGTCAACAATCTTAGATAGATCCATTCCGGTGCGCCCCCCCCCCCAACAATTAGACACACCGTGCCATTCACGGCCGACATAACAGATGTCTGGTCTACACTCCGCTAACTGTTTGTACTCTTCAAAACAGACCGGCCATAGAACATATAATTACTATAATTGCAGCCTACTAACGCTGTAAGCCTGATGTCACACGATCCGACACAGGACTACAGCCACAAAGATCTCACCAAGATCATCGGGCCCCTCGCCCACAACCTCCTCGCTCAGGCAAAGCTGGGGGAAGCAAGCATCTCCCGCATGGAACAGGAAGCAGCAACGCTGAAGCTCCAGGCTGAGTAGGCTCAGAGAAACCTGGTGCGAGCTCAAAATCAACTGGACCAGCTAACATCGTAGACTCAGCACTCGCACAGGACGGCGGATGAGGAGGAAGTAGAGAGACTGCAGAAAGCCTTAACTGATCTCCGTGTAGACACAGCACGCCGAGAGCAGTGGGTAAAGGATACCAGAGAGGAACTAAGTGAAAAACTTCAGCAAGCCGAGGCTCTCCTGAGGAGAGCAGAGACTGAACTCAAAAAGAGAGACGCCAGGGCCAAGGCCTGCGAAGGCCACTTGCAAAGTTCCCGGGCTGAAGTCAGTGCCCTGGCCCAACAAAGAGACGATTTAAAAGATGAACTTGATACGGTTCACCGAGAGCTTAAATATGCATATAGACTGCAAAGTGACTCTGAAAGGGAAATGCACACCACAGAATTTCCCCTAACCAGCAGATTGATACCTCCTAGTCAAGGATTCCCAGTTCGAAAGGGGGGTGAGAGCCCACTGCTCAAGACATCACCTGCCAGCATCCCAGCATCAGGAAGGGGGTGGGAGCCTTTCCAAAGGCTGTCTTCCAGTCACAGTGTGTCACCTAAAGAATTGGATAAGCTGGCTAGAAACATTCCCACTTTCACTCCAAACCCTGCAGGAGGCCACGATGTGCACGCCTACGTAAAAGACATTGACTTTAACTTACAAACTGTTGCCAATGTTACCACACGAGACAGACTCTATCTGCTCCGAATCACCGCCAGCCGTGAGGTGAGGAGCTTTCTAGACCGGCAGCCAGAAACGGTCAAAGTGGGAGCACGGAACGAGCCAGGAATGGAACAGGACTTCAAAATTCTGTTCCTCCGGAACCTGCACCCAACAGTGAGTCATCACTTGGGGGTTCTTGCTTGCCCACGGACTATGTCCACCCAACAGCTGCGAGATTTGGCCCATAAGGCCTATGCCAAACAAAGGACTGCTTTTGAAAAGACAGGAAAAAACCCCACAATCAATCCTGTCACTAATCAGAGTTCTGAACTTGCTCTAGAGGGCGCCGAGCCAAGCCACAATGACAAACCTGTCAACACAATGTCAAGATCCTTCCCAACCAGCAGAGTGCAGCATGGCCATGGTGGTGCCCGTCCTAAGCACCAGTATGAGCGCCCTGAGAGATCCTGGGATAGGTCACTTATCTCACCAGACTCTCCAGCCACTGCCTCAGCGCTGGTATATACCAACGGCATGACCAGGACAAAAGAGTGGTCGCATATGCCAGCAAGACTCTTCTTCCCCCAGAGTGCAAATACTCAGACTGTGAGAAAGCCCTGCTCTGTACTGTATGGGCCATCCAGAGATTCTCCAACTACATCGGAGCACAGAAAGTGATCATAGAAACTTGTCACCAGCCTGTCACATTCCTCAACAGCCAGCGCATCCGCGACGGTGTGGCCACAAACGCACGCATAGCCACATGGCTAATGGCCCTCCAGGGGCGCAATGTAGAAGCACGATATGCTCAAAATCCCAAGTCGATGCTGGGTAACGGCCTGGCAGCCTGCCAAAGCTGCTCCGATGACACACCGACTGAGATCGTAGAAGCAGAAAGGCCCCAACTACCGCCACCTACCTGCCACAGGTATTTTGACAAGAATGTCTGCCGAGGCATGCCCACAGCCTATGTCGATGGATGTTCCTACAGCCATGAGGACATCCTAAAAGCAGGTGCTGGTGTTCTCTGGCGAAATGATCGACCTTTCCAACCACAACACTTCAAGCTGGGTCCACAATCATCACAATATGTTGAGATAGCAGTTATTCTCATAACCCTGCAGATAACATCGACCCATAAAATAGGAGAACTGTTCATCTGCACAGACTCCAACTATGCCAGACATGGCTTCACATGCCATCTTCCAGGCTGGAAGCAAAATGGTTTCAAGACAGCAAACAACAAACCAGTTCCAGGCATGCGACGACATCACAAGTGAGCATGATATATGATCATCTACTGGAAGAAAGTGAAAGGACACTCAAAACAACCTGGTCCAGACAAGGACCTCAACGACCAAAAGGATGCCCTACCCAAAGCAGGTGCACTACACGGCGAGTTATGGTCTCCACCAACCCTCATAAATGATTATATTGTCTGCTTGGTGGACAGACAGATCAAATAATTGTAATATTGATTATGCTACTGTTAATTCTAAGATCTAATCTAAATATTTATTATTAATCATAACCAGTTATAATTAGTCATAAATATTTCCCTTTTGAGCTGATTTTCTACAATTGCCTATATGTCAAAATTAGTACATCACTACAATATCTTTATAGAAAAATCCTTACAAAAATTAACCATGCTTTTATTATAGTAAAAGTACAGTAACCATGTTTTTTTTTGGCAAATGGATTATCATTTGTATTTATTTTTACTACAAATTCCATGGTTAAACTATGGTTAGTGTAGCAAAAACCATGGTTAATTTGTGGTTACCATGGTTTAACAATAGTAACCATTGTCTTTGGATTTATAGTAAAATCATCGTTAATTTTCGTAAGGGTTGTGTTGTTGTCTGCCCTAGCTCCCCCTAAACCTATTATAAAATATGATTATTTGTCTGCTAAATTACTACTGTAACATTACAATAGATAATAATGATGTCCTTTATACAGTATTTTGAATAATGACTGATGAGCAATGGGCTGCTGCTGCTTAACTAAGTAAACAAAGACAAAACTACAATAGCATATATTTACAGATGAAACTGACCTGCACTTGAAACCCTGAACAGTAGTTTTGCTTCTCTGCTCCACCTGTGCGCTTCCACAGTCCTCTCCATTTTCTCTCTCACATCGATTACTCTGATCCAAACCGTGTGGCGGAGGCACGGAGAGCACACGAGCCGAAGCATTGCCAGTCACGACTAACCGATTCATGATTTATTAGAGATTTAATTATCGAATGGCGAATTCGGAAACAATCGCTTTAGTACATTCAGCAGGCAATTATACAATAATAATATTTAAATAGCGGGCCAAATCGGCAGCCAGGCCACCGGGAATTGTCCCGGTTCTCCCGATGGCCAGTCCGCGCCTGATTTCCACAGACATGCAGAAAGTGCAGGATTCATATATTGTCTTTTTTCGGCTTAATATTCACAGACACTAGTCCATATTGCGTTTTGATTAAAGTACACTGACCTACTTTTGATTTATTCGTCCAAAATGTGGCATATTCCGTCTGCGTTAGGCTATAGGAATTACGTTTTTATGACTGGATTCCATGAACCAGTCTGTGTTTTTGCATTGCGGAAATTATAGGGCCATATGTCTCAGAGTAGTCAGTGCAATTTGGGAAAGAAATCAATTAAATATGTGGATGTGTGTAAATATTCAAATGTAATCCCCTTTGTAATCGTTCACATTTTCATAAGTAACTAATTTAATTACACAGTTTTTCTTAGTAACTGTAACTGATTACAGTTACATTTATTTTGTAATAAAAATACGTAACGCCGTTACATGTAACTAGTTACTCCCCAACACTGCTAATACCATAAATCTTTAATACTCTATACATGTATAACGTTAATTTGTGAAATAATGCGGTTAAATATTATGATATTCGTGCTTAAAATAATAATTATTCTATAAATAACACTATCATTTATACATGATATGCTTGCATAAATAACTCTCTTTTATTATTTTACGTTTTAAATATCAGTTTTCGCCTCTGTTTACCATAATTTACCTAAAGATATAGACTTGCAATACGTTTGTTAAAACTCTGGACGTATTTTATATTTATCTCTCATTATCATCAGCGTTTACCATATATTTATTCAGATTCCGACTTTTGTTTGAATTTTCTACAAAATCTCTCCAGGCAAATTCATCAGGCGTAGTTACCCATGCATCTTCAACAGTTTACTTAACATACCAGGGGTATATTACACCGATGCGATGAAACATCTTTTAGAATTTTTTTTTTTTGTTAGTTTTTTCTTTTACAAGTTAATTGGTGTGATATTAGCAGCGCGATCTACCTGCCTGGTAGATCAGCCTGTCTGGTCTTTATTACATATCCTGGTGCGTAGACATAGACTTTCATCTTGAGGGTGTAAGATGTATCCTTATCTACACATGTTTGAACGCAACAGAGTTTTTAACCACCGAAAAATCAAAGTTCGGATATCTGTTTATCGATCTCACGCCTTGTAAACCATGCGTTCAAATGTACGTTTGAAGTAGGTCTGATATAAGTCTCACATTGGAAAAATTAAAGAGATCTATTCTCTTGTTTGCATTAGGTATACCTCATAAATGCCTGTGTGTGTGTGTGTTTTAAACATGACAACATTCTGAGTTAATAAAGATATAAAATTTAACTAAAATGAAGTAAAAATTAAACAAATTTTCCTACAGCATAGACTGCCTTGTTAAAAACAATCACCCCTGATCCGCCCTATTTATTACACTTTGTTGTTATTGTCTTTCCTCTATCTATCTAAGAGTATCCTAAACCTCTGTGAAATCACAACCACCAGATCTACATTATTATTAACATTCCTGTTTTTCTTACCTAACCAGATGTTTGTCGTTAAAAAGGGTCAGTAGATTTCACACCCTTTGACCAGTCACTGAACTTTTGCCTAAACTTTGACAAAGTTCACACTCACAGGTGCATGCCATAAATAGGCCTAGATACAATTGAGATACTTTGATCACTGAACATATCAGAAAAATTATCCGTTTTGATGACTGAACTGTTTACTCGACACACAACACCAAAGTTCACAATGCCACAACCCTCAAAAACTCATTAGATTGCAAATGAGTTGCAAACCCAGAAACAGGCTTCGATGTTTTACGACCTTTTGAAATACATTACGCTGATATGGACGCGCCATTCTCGTTTCGATACACTACGTGAGACGAAATATTTACATTTCGTACCGTGTTGTAAAAACCTTAGGCGTTTAACTACGTATGTCTGTTTTAATTGATAGATAACACGCCACAAGTGTTACAGATGGAAAATCAAAGAGACTCCCCAAAACATTATCTTTCATTCCAGTTAGATATTTGTGCGAGCATTCATGTGTGTTTTAACTCTTATACCATACCACAAGTTAAGCTTGACAAAAACCAAAGAGTAATAAAGGAATTACTAAATTAAGTGTGAATAACTAAAATAAAATAAAACAAAACAAAACAAAACACCATTTTCTAGTGATTTATATGTGATTGTTTAGAAGAAAACTTGTATATACTACCCTAATTTTAAAGTGAAAAGCTTTAGGATGAATGCTGAATTTCATCAATTAAGAAATGATATAGATTTATTAAAAACAACTGTTTTTAATGTAAAACATTATTTTGCTTAATTCTTTTTTACCATACATTTAAATCTATCTTTGATAGATGTCTCTCCTATGGCGTTAGGGGAGGGCTGTAGGTGTGGCCTGACCTACGCGCTCCTGAGCTCATTCCGAGTTTTGACAGCAGTGTGTGAGGATGTATCAGCGTAAGATACACGGTGTATTTTTTCTTTTGTTTAACTTGTGACAAACTAAAACTAGTTTTTAAATTGTTATGATAGACTACAACATAGATTTTGACAAGTATCTTAACCTGTCGCTTAACGTTTTTTATTTTCTAACTGGTAACAAGCTCTAACTTTTAAAATTGTACAGAGAAAAATTTACGTATTGTTTAACGATCGTATCTGGAAGGACATTTTTTGTTTTAGATCACGATGAGATAAGTCAATGTTTTTATTTTATTTTCTAACTTGTAACAAACTCTCAAACTTTTAAATTGTAATGTTACAATATTTTGACTGCCACATACTGTTTAACGCATGTGTCTGATACATTTTGTTTTAGATAGATGGTCAGCATTTTTCTTTTATTTTCTAACTTGTAACAAACACTAACTAGTTTTTAAATTAACAACACTTAAATATTCGTCTTGACCCATTTTTAAGGCTGATTTATACTTCTGCGTCGAAACTACACCGTAGCTACGTCGTAGGTTGTGCGTAGCACGCATAGCCTACTGCGCAGCCTGACGTGCACCTCTCCAGAAATGTAACAGCGCGTCAATTCTATGCCGACCACAAGTGCTGTGATTGGTCTGCAAGAACCCCTCCTTCCATATGTACTTAAGTTTTGTGTGTGTTTGTGCACTTTTATATATTTTAATGTTACACCTTCTTATATAAAATAAAACAAAGCAAAGAACAAGTGTCTTATCATTATACTACATAGCATTATACATCAGTAGTTGTCCGCAATAAACAATGTTGATCTGCCGTGGTGCAAGTCCTGCAGATTGAAAGAATGCCATCATCTCCTGTTCCGTTGTTGTCTCCTTTTTGTAGTTTTAAATAATGATTAAATGATTTGATATTTATTTGCCACTGTCACGGCTATAATACTTCTCCGACGAGTCGCTTCTTCTTCGGCTTTTGCCGTGGTATTGCGGGTTACACCAGCAACATGCCCATGGACACTGCTGACTCTTTTCTGGAAAGTCAATGTCATTACATTGTTTATATACTGCGTATGTTTGATGATTTTCTTGAAATGTGTGTGTGTAAAAACTTTAATAAAAACTTATCCCGTTTAATAATCATACCATGTTTCATAATTGAAAGTTTAAAGCACATAGTTTTGAACAGTTTCAACTGACCCCACACAAAAACACATTCCCAAACAATCATACATTCCATGGGATCGCTGGGGTGGATAAACAGATGACCGGTTAGATGGGTGGGGGGGTGTACAGAAACAGGTGTCCAAACAGGTGTCTATTTATGGTAGGAAGGAAGGGGGTTTTTATGACCCCTCATCAATCAAATTTTGTCATATAGTTGACTATGCATTTGTTTTAGCTGAAGACTCCTCTCTGGATGCGGTCAGCAAAACACTGTAAGTTCGCACTAATCCTCAAGTGTGTGTTTTTCACATGAAAACATGATCAAATACAGCATAAGGAAATTAAATGAAAGTTGTTCTTGAGAGAGTGTTTAAACTAAAACTGTGATCTACTTTTAGGACATCTTTCGCTATTTTTCTGTTACATGTACATCCATTACATTTAAAACACTTAACGTTACACATTACAAGTCGTGGCTGTCATGGATGCACTATTTTCTCTGTACCTGTCTCTAAACTTGACTTCAGTAAATAAACCACAGTTATTTTAAGTGAAAGTCCAGATGATTCCAACCATTTTAGTTATTCATTGTGTTTTAGATTTGATCCAGAAAACAGGCACCAATACAACAGTTCATTGTCATGTTTGTCTTAATCATTTGTTTTTTAAGAAAACGTGGTAAGCAGTTTTTTGTCTCTCAACAGCAGAATACCAAAATTGTTTAACATCTCTGAATTTGTCACAACTGTAAATCAAGTCTAGTCAAGTAACCTTTATTTATATAGCGCTTTTAACAATACAGATTGTGTCAAAGCAACTGTACAGCATTAATTAGGAAAATAGTGTCAATAATGCAAAGTGACAATAGTAAACACTCATTTTCAGTTAAAGGCAGTTCATCATTGAATTCAGTGATGTCATCATCCAGCTTAGTTCAGTTTAAATAGTATCTGTGCAATCATTTGCAATCAAGTCAACGATATCGCTGGAAATGAAGTGTCCCCAACTAAGCAAGCCAGAGGCGACAGCGGCAAGGAACCAAAACTCCATCGGTGACAGAATGGAGAAAAAACCTTGGGAGAAACCAGTCTCAGTCGGGGGGCCAGTAAATGCTTGTTTAGCTTAAATATTAGTTTTAGTCTTTAGTTATTTACTAAGGTGCCGGGCATGATGCTTATATATAATGATTATGTTACGATTATGATATGAGATACAGGTTCCGGGTGCCTGTAAGCAGTGAAAACTCGAAAGGAAATGCGACAGAGACAAGAGTGTTACTCAAACAGTCCTCTTTTAATAAAAGATTTTCTTTTATATTTTAATAAAATATTGCATTGAATGTCACTAAGAGTCAGATTCGTTAACAGTGTTCATAAATACTTTGAAATGAATATAAACATACAAATCTTTATAGTGACAGTAAGTCAATTTAATATAGCCTAACAACACATACACAAATGCTTGTTCTAACTCTTTCACACACCAGACCAAGCCCTGGTAAGTATACCTAAAATTGCTAGATATCTTGCTTTTATCCACATGTTTAACGGCACTACTGTTCTAGACCTCGTCACACCATTGTGAGATATAAACTATGAAACCAGAAGAATTTTTTATGTTTCCATGAATTTGTTTGAATTTGTTTACCGCATTTCACTATTCTTTAATGTATTTTCATGTGTAACTGTAATTGTTTTCCTTACGCATGGTCCAGAGCATTCTTGGCCGATAAGGCAGCATATTT